GTCTACAGAGAGATTCCAACAGCACATCTTTCTCTTCTGTTAATCTTTCATTGTCAGCTTGTAGTTCTGTAAGCTGTGCCTATGAATAAGAGGAATATTATAATTACTATCTTATGTTGTTCAATAAAGCTTTTGGCTGCTAATTGCACATACTTGTAGATCGCTTAATTCTTGTATTGTTGCCTGTAACTCTTCATTTGTTGAATAATGCGTTTCTTCCATTTGCAGAATTCTATCTTGCAAACATGCGACAGAAACCTCTGATACAGAACTAGAAGAATGCTTGTCCCAATCTGGGGTGGTACACTGAGCACTATCTTGGGATATGGTGATCGGTGTGGATCCTTCATCTTGGGGGATTGCTATTGATGCTGGTGCAGAATTGTGTAATCTTGAGGCATCCAGAAGTAACTGTTGCTTCTCTGAATCTGACAAGGGAGAATGTGCAACGTCTCTGAGTCTTGCACGAAGAGCTTCGTTCTCTTCTGTAAGGCGGTCTAACTCCAAACTATGCTGTTCCTACAATTAAAAAAGAGCGAACCCTATTATTCATTACAAATTTTCAAATACATTTACTTCAAGCAAGTATATAAATATACGAATCATATTATTACGTTGTTATAACATATTTTGTCAATTTTTCTCTTTTTCTTTGCCGTTTTATTTATATTAAAAACACGATGCCAAACGCTTACATAAACGAGAATATGGTAACCGATAGTATTCTAATTACTTGGGCTGACTAGTATGATGAAACGTAATATGCTTAATCGTACGATATATCTGCTATGACAATGTTGAGAAATCTAAGTTTCTAATTCGAAGCGGACAATTCTTATTTCCTTCGATCTCTTGATTATGCGGCGAATAAGTGTCAACAATTTAGGTTAGGTCTACGAAATTCAACCAAACATCTCGCAACTTTCTAAACCAGTGATGGTTGCCTATTTATGACTCTTTGAGGAAGTGTAAACAATTTATAAAGGAAGTTGCTCCTTGTCGTTTACCGTAGACGTGGAGAAACAACGTTTTTTCATAGCGTTCGCGGTCGTTTCACTTCACAAGTTTCCTTCCTCCGTAAACATCCCTCTTCCTACGCCCTCTAGCTATCCTTTAAATACGCGGGATAATGTTTCAACCCCTTCATGAAAAAAACCAAATTTCAATACGAAACAGAATATTTATTTATTTTAGGAAGATCAATTTTTTCTATCATTTTTTATAAGTATGGTTAATGGATGCTTTAGTTTTCAGTGTCTTTATTTTATTAAATTCATTTATAATAAAATTGAATCTTTTGTTTTTTACAGTTTTCTAATGCTTTCACAAAACCTTAATTAGCGGGAAAAATAATCCTAACCTTTTTTGGTAAGTATGTAATTATGGTAAGTATGGTAAGTATGTAATTACCTAGATTTATAAAAGAGGATCATAAATCATTTTTATAAATGATAATGTTTTTGATAGACTATTTGTAATTAAGTGAATCTGAAAAATTGTTAGGAAAAATAATCCTTACCCTCTATGATAAGTAATCATCAACTATATTTACAAAAAAGGGATCAACGATCACTTTCATGGATTGCAGATTGTATTTTTATAGATTATTCACTCAATAATCAAATATTATGTAATATTGAACAATGAATCTAATAAGTGAACAAGCGTGTTCTTAAATTATAAGATTATACTGAGTGATTGCATAACATCCGCTTTTCATGATACCAGTAAGCACGGCTAAAGGGTAAAAAAAGGATCACCCACGTTCACCTTGAATCGTTGTTAATGTCGGTAAATAACCTGCTCCATCTCGTAGAAACCGCCCTCGAAGACGATCTCCTGTGTTTGTTTTCCTTGTAAGGTCAATGATGTTAGACGAGAATGGGGATTTGGGGAAGTGGGAGAAGTAGATCTACACGTGAGTAGAACAACGAAAAGAGAGGAGATAGAGAGAGACCGAAATGAAAGCAAATAACACAATAAACATATACACGAATCTTTCCCTTGCGGCATACAAATTTTTATCTATCAATTTTGTTCTAATGTAAGTTTGAAAAATTGATATTTCCACCATTTTCAAAACTGACTTTAAATAAAACGTGTGTCTTGTTAATTACTGGAAATAGATGTTTGTTCAACATATCGTAAGTTCAACGCTCATTTATAGTTTGTTAAAACTGCTATTAGCTGATAGATATTTCTAAACGGATATGTATTAGATTGTTTAGAAAATCTGTAGCAAAAGTTAAGAAAAATTTATATATAATTCGAATTTTTACCATTTATAACTTCACAACTTCTTTCTCGAAGAATTGATCGTCTTTTCCATTTTCGAATAAATTTTGCAATGACTACTGTAAATAATGATGAAAATACTATGTTTGGTAATTAACTCAGATAGAGATGAACATTCCAGCTACACTTCAAAATTTGTTGGACATATAAGATACAACAGTATCTTTTCACTGGAAAAAAGAAACCTGTCTTATTGGCGAATTTTCGATAAATTTTTCTAATTTATTTTAATATCCAATTCTTCTTTGTTGAAACGTTTCATAATTTGATAGAAATTCATAATAAAAATGCTACAAACTTTTTAAATGACCCAAATAGATATTAATCAATCTAATGTAGATATAAAGAGTAAAGGGAAAAACAAAGAATGTCACAAAATAGCTTTATCGAGAAAATTAAGTTTTAATATTTTAGTCCACCAGGAAAGAAACAACATTCAATAAATTGAACTGTATTTTTCACACATAAAATGAAATTATATTTTACTTAGATATCGTACAAAAGAATGATTAATAAAATATTAATTAATTACTTTTACCTGTGTTTTGTTCCAATACAGAATAGACATTCCCTGTCTTTAACCAGTACACCAAATTCTTAGGGCTATCTTATACTCATTAGGAAGTTAAGATTAAAATGGGAAAATTACCTTGAGAGAGGTGAGTTCAGCGCGTAGTTCGTGAAGATGCTGAGCATCGCAAGATGCCTCACGTAGATTCGACTCGAGTCGTGCGTGGTCCTTGCGCAACACCTCGATCTCACGCTCCAGCTCCTGCATCCTGGACCCCTTGCCGGGTCCCTTTGGATTGAAGCTACCCTTAGCGTTCCCTTTGGCTCCTTCTTTACCGAGGGAGCCCCAGTTGCCTACCGATGGGTTTTCGTTCTTCGCCTCAAGCGAGGAGGCACTTGGCGCCTGACGCAGCGGGATCTGTTGCTGTTGTTGCTGCTGCGACTGCGTCGGCGGTTGTTGCTGGCCTCTGCGAAACAGCGATCTGAACTTCATCATGGTCGCTCTTCACACTTCACTGGACACTTAACCGAAATTCCAAAACCATCATTCCCGAAAACACGAACATTTATTATCCTTTCATCGTCCAGCTAACGACATTATCATAATGTTCAATTTATAATTATTATTCACCTTACAAACCGATTACGTTAGGTAAGATCATTGAACAAAATTATTTATACTCCTACAAGACTTATTTAAAGTCTCCATTGCATTCCATTTTACAGGTAACACGATCCTAATCGATAAGAATTCCATCTCGAGGATCTATCCACCTCACAAGGACAAACTTCATTGACAACAAATATACATATTAGAGATAATCTAGATTCCCTATAATCAATGTTTTTACGTTATACACAATAGCCTAATGAAAGAAATTTTTTTAGCATAGATGTATCTATACTAAGGTTTACGGTGAAATTCTACAGAATGCTTTGTAAGGAAAACGTGCCACTTTCACGTCGTCGAATTAACAACATCGGATTTCAAGTATAACTAGTATACACAGGGAAAAGTTTCCTCGACTTCTTTTTTCTCCAAACGAGCTTTCTCGATCCCTGAACGATGTCACTTGAAGTTAAGGTTACACGACGAGGGAAAGACGAGATCGTTTAGCAACAGCGTGTGACACGATCCCGAAAAGGAATTTGAAAATTCGTATACGAGATGCGACGACCTCGAGCCACTTTTCGAGGCCTATTTGTCTCTCACGAGCATTTACGAATTCCAGCCGAGCACGTACGGAGGATTCGACTGGATCTTAGCCTCCGACGGCGACCACTTGTTGCATCGACCGGCCGACCTCCGTGGCGCGAGTGTATTTCTTCTCTATGTTTGTTCGGAAGATACGCTTGCATTCTTGAACGTTGAATTCGCCAGATAGGAACCTTCCAAACGAATCTCCGATGAAACCGAACGTCCAAGCTTCGTTCAAAGTTTGAACTTCAACACGTCGGTAGTTTAAAGCCACTTGCGAAATTCCAATTATTGATAATTCTATATGTATTATGGTATATTCGTTAGTTTTTGGATAAAAAATTTGAAATTCGAAACTGAAGCTTATTTGTACTATCGATGATATAATGCTTTTTTGTATGATTTGAAGAACTTTCCTTTGAAGAACACAGAAAAACAACACACTCTCTACAGCGGTGCATCGAGCACTGAATACGAGTCTCGACTTGTGTCCCCTCCAGAATGGTCTACCCCACCACGGGCCCCGACCATTTTGCTGGACGAAGGGCTTGAGAACGCGTCTAGGCGTCGAATATATACTTAGAAGTTACTGTAGCAAACGATGATGCTGCTGATCCTTTTCAGGATCCACTTTCGATACACGCAAAATATGCTCTTTATGTAAAGAGCGATTATTCTCATTTTTCTGTCTATGACGAATCGTTATCAAGCTATCGCAAGGACATCATGATGTTTATCATACGGACGAAATATACTGTGCGACAGTAGTATGAGGTAGTGAAATTTCAATTGCATAAGATTGATTCGGATTTCTCGCGAGATGAAAGCTTCATTGAGAATAAATGGAAGCTGTTTAAAGGAGAAAATTAAGAAATAAGTATGGAGAAGCACTGATTCTTAGAAAATATTTTACATAAAATATTCTTGGGAGAATTAGGAACTTCGTAGAGCCATCTACAAAGGTTGAAACGTTGAAATTTCACGCACTTTCAGGAAGGGCCCTGTTAAACCGATCGAGTCGCCGATGGGGCTTCGATCATTCGATTTCTTGTTCGATTTTTTCACAACGAAGATCCCTGTAACCGCAATAGCGAGAGAAGATGAAAGAGAAACAAAGATAATTGGCGAGGATCGTGGTGGGGCTTAAGACAGCCTGCGCCAACTCTCTGGGAACGAGTACATACGCCGTCGAAGATGGTTAGGCGAGTACAGAGGGGCGAGGAAGAGGAGGTAGAAGCTGCTTAAGGAGGCCACGGAATCTGCAGACGTCTCACCGTCGACCAGTTTTCTCATACGGTCGACATATGGTATGTACCCGGTGGCCTAAACTTCCACAGGATAAATCTCTACCTGAGGTGAGCCCTTGACCTGCCTTCTAATGCAAAACTGATTATTACAAGCAACATATATTATCAGATGTTAACTCAAAAACATTAAGAATGGCGTTCATATCATCTCTTAAATCCTTTTCTGGTTTCCCATGTATGTACATAGATTCTGAATTCTATAAAATAAGGAGATCTAAATACTACAGTCTAGACTAGTATGGCTGAATTAGTATACCAAGCTTGTGTGAGCTAAGTCCGATGATATGACTCAAGTCTTGCCAAGGTCTGGGTTAAATATAAGTCTAGGCTGGGTCTAGGTTGAATCTACTTATATTATCGAAATGAAATCTTATATTTCTACTAATATTTGTAATTTATGTTACGCGAGAGTTATCCAGAATTAAAATGGAACAAGATGGTTATTTAGAACGCGAAAAACGAAATCAGTCTCTTTGGAATGTCCGAATCGATGACTCGGCTCTAACGACTGTAATCTGATAAGGATCGATTTCAAGGTAAGTTAAATAACGTGGACAAAATGCAATGCTGTGCATATACCTGATCACATTGTAAAGCTAACACATTCGTAAAACAGGCTTATTATGGACCTATTTTCGCGGCACTATGCAACGTGTGCATATGTGTCATTATCACAACCGTATTGGCGCTTTTCTATTCAGTTTAGCGGAAATACAACGCGTCCACTTCGTCATCGCAAATATGTTCAGGCATATAGACGTCGAGGCTGCGGAAAAACGATCCAAAAAAAAACAGGCAGAAATGCGTCTAAATATACATGGTCGCGATGCGATGTTGGAAAGAATCCTGGCTGGCGTCCACTGGCGCCGAATCTAAAAAAAGTCTGAGGAATACGCGTTCGGCAGATTTAACATAATAAGCTCGTTGTACGGGGTGTTGCGAAAATTCCTATGAATAATCATTCGATTCACTGTTTCTTTTCTTTTTATATGTACATACAGTGAATCACAGAAGTATTCGAATACTTGTATATACATTTTATGAATATATTATGTTGAAATTTCATTAACACTGTCATAAGACTATGGCGAGTAATATCATAATAAATATAATCGATATATACATCTCATGACAGTCGTTTTCATTACACGATAGTGAAATTTTAAACTGTTTTATAAAGTTCTCAATTTTTACGAGTTACTACATATCCATAACGAAATCTGAAGAAAACGTTTAATTAAAAATCAATTAAGATCTTTCTTCTTCTTTGAGTGGTATCCTAACCTACTTCACCGACACGTTACTTTGCTCGATCTAAATAACATATACTGGATTATGTGGAATACCTGTTGCACTTTATAAATACATACAGCCATATCTTTCCGTGAGACTAAAGAACAAAAGGAACAATGAGAAGAATTCAAATATCTCATCGAGAAATCAATCCGTTTGAATATTATGTTCTCCTAATTGTCTAGAACAACATATAATTGCGTCTGGCATGGTTTAACATTTCCCAGGCGTACGAAGGTGGATGCGTTGGTAATATCAATAAGAGAATGTCCGCTACGATGTAGACACGTCGGCTTGTCGATGCACTTAAACGTTCGCGCGTTGTTCATTCCCCGATTAATATTCCATATAACGTTCCTATGCAACAATTTACGTCATTGCGTTCCTCCAGACGCCAGAAGATTGATTGAACATTTCTTATCTTGATGGTTCTTCAGCCCTTCGATTTGTTCTGCTTCCCTCAACATTTGTTTAACCGAACTTGTAGTTAATTCTCGTCATTCTAACTTTGAAGAAAATGTATCAATTCAAAGGTAGAATTCTTTGGTTCGTTCTATTCGAATGAGAATATGAAAATAGAGCGAAATATAAGCCAGACTGTTCGATAAACGAGATCAAGGCTGATTGAACGTGCTTTCTCTGAATCACCATGACATCAAGCGTTTAGCTTGATCGAACTAACGAGCTTATAAACCTCTTTCGTGAATTGTCACGTCCAAGGAATTGCGCCGCTTACGACATGGCCTTATCTGTGGCTCAAGGAGACGCAAAAGAGATATCATTATCGCCAGGTGTAAGTGTAGGAGGTTCCATCGCTCATGCATACTTTATGACGTGATCGATTCGTGTAATAGGATTCGGTCAGACAACGATTTCGGCGAATTCTTGTCTTCGGTGATTTGTAGGCAAGAGAAAGGAGCTATGGATTTCTTTGCGGCGACGCTGTAAGATAAGGAACGATGTGAGATGCCGGTGAATTGGACAGAAATTTAAAAAGGCTGAATTTTGTTTTGGGACACACCGAATTTGTGACTTCATTTCTTATATCTTTTTATCATTTTTTAAGTTCCTTTTTAAATCACTATACATTTTGCAAAACAAGCTTTACTTACAACAAATATAAAACCCTATGCACGATGTAGACACGAATAAAGTATACTTAAAATAAACAAAAAAGTTGAAAAAACTTGGTGCATAAAATATATTGCAAAATAGAAAAAGCTTGAAATTGATACACTATGAATTTTAGTAATATCTGTATTAAACATTTTTAATTTTAAATGTCATCTATTCTGTAGCATTGCTCTTATTAAATATATGTCCATTCTGTAAAATTATGATATCTTTTTTTGTATTTCTTATTCTATAAACTTTCTTTTGACTGCCATATGCTATATGATAAAAATACTAATTTTAAGATATAGGTATCGTTATTTTAAACGTTGTACATATATATGTATTCAGTGTGTTCCAAAATGAAGCTCAGTCGGTAAAAATGATGATGATCAGTGACGACAGAATAAGCGAAGGAAGAAAAATACGCAGGCGTATTTTCGTCACGCGGCTGCGATACGCTTGATACAAACATTTATATCCAAAGCAAACAGCGATTGTTGCAGTCGCCTTGTGCAAATATTGAACAGGCAACGATTACAAGGCTGGAATGTGGGTTGTCTTCCATTTGGTTCGGTTCGAATTCTGGATTCTTTTTTGGAAGTAGTTGATAAACGATTACGAAGAATAGATAAAGGCCGTGGTGCGGAGTTGATGTTGATTCCTCGGACAGCTTACGCATGACGTCACTCTGTTCCCCGTTTTCTACCAATTGACTTTGCCCTTATTCAAAGGCCTTTAGAGCGTCTCGTCGCAAGCTTCTATTATAGTGATTCCATTCATAATAGCCTCTGTCTGTATCTTTTAGAAATATTCAAAGTTTGTCAGACCTAAGTGTACTAGTGTATATTCAGAAATTTCGAAGCGAAAGTTAAAGTAGGTTTAGCTAGAATAAACTTATATACATACAACATTTAAAGATATATAGACTTATATAAAATATTTTAAAATTTCATTGGCACTGAACATAAATAATTTACCAATTAATTTGATAGTTGCAAGCTGTAGATTATACAGTTCTTTCTTAGAATTTTATATCAAAGAGGATAATTAGATAATTTGTAATTTGAAAGGATCTAGATGTTAAATCCGGTGGTTAAAGATTATGCGTGCCATCTGTTGCATGAGGTTCATTGATAACTGATGGCGAGTTAAAGACCTCACTAACGTGTTTACTCGGCTGAACACCGTTCTATGGTGGATCGCCGTAAATACAAAGAAGTTATCGGGCTGCAACGAGTAGCTCATTGACTTTTGATTCACTGGGTATGTAGGTCGTCCGACGTCGACCAAGTACCGCTCTCATTGTCAGAGTGGGTCGTCGATCCGTCGAGCAGTTGCCACTTTAGAGACCCCGTAAGAATCGACCTGTGCCTTTCTTCTCTCTCTCTCTCTCTCTCTCTCTCTCTCTCTCTCCTTTTCTCTCTATTAGCGTAAAGAGCCGCATCTTTAGATCTTAATTAAGAGACGACAACGAGCAGACATTGTCGACTGACTTTACGCCAAACAACTGTATACTCTCCAGGAGATATTACTTGCGGACTGCAACTTTACTACGGATGGTTGGGATGGCACTATATTCTCGTTCATAAATATTGCTGGATTTATACGAAATATGACATTTAATCTAAGATATCAAGAAGAGAATTAATCAATTAGAGTTTTATATACATGCAAGATTTTAATATATTTAAGAACTCTTCAGGAAGTGGTGGTTATAGAAAAAAAAAATGAGCGTGACTTATCTGATGTAATGGAGAGGTTGATTTATAATCACCTGGAACAGGATTGGACCAGTTAGTAGGTTAGAATGGACCTCTTACGTCAAACAGCATGATTCAGAGGGAAATGTTAGAAGGAAGAAATGTATACAGGTTGGTCAGACTAACCAGATATCCCTGAAAGAATAATGAATCGATTTAGATACTATAATTTTGCATGTATGCGCGAGCAACAGATTAGAATATACAGTGGTTCATGAAAGTGTTCCGCCATTTATAGAAATTTTTTATGAATATATTATGGTATGACTCTTATGATTTTATCGGTAAAATTTGAAATAAATCAGAAAATATCTGTATATAATATGAAAATTATGCGTCCAAGTATGCATTGCAGCATAATGTAGTCCTAGAAATTGTAAAAGCATAATCAATTATCTATTACAAATAGGCTATTCACGGTGTCTACCAATTTTTTCACTAAATATACATTTGCAATAACCTCTATATCAATTTTTAAATTGATTCCAAATTTTACCGATACAATCGTGATAGCCGAGTTTCATGAAAGCGTCAATGAAATTTCAGAATGTTTTATATAACACGTACATATAATAAATACATGAAAGTTTTCTATGATAAATCTTCAAAGACTTTCGTTAACTACTGTATCGATGTAACGATGTCTAATTATACAAGATCCAAATAAAACGTCCTGAAAACAACCATCAGGAGTAATTATGAATAACAGTGTATAGAAGGAACCATGATGTGAAAACACTTACTATCAAGAGAGCATAGTGTTCAAAAAGGTGGTCGATTCCATTAAGAAGTTGTTGGATGAAGTCAATGAAGTCACCAGGTATGGTGAACCAATCGAGAGTAATGTATAACCCCCTGATTTACATTCGCACGTGTTCTCAAGGCATCATGAGGTGATTTTTGGACAGTTCTCTCGGTCACTCAAATCTGGCGAAGGTGTTGGCGGTCTCCGCCATAAGGAACGAGAGGAAAGGAAGGAAACTGCAGCTAGTGTAAAAAGGGAACTGGTTTAAAGCGCGGTAGCGCTATCTGCGGACCAGAATTCGCCTACTTAGCAGCATAAAGCTATTGCACGTAACAATCAACTAGCGTATCTTGACAGTAGGAGAAAGTGTACTCTATACAGGCCCGGACTTCCACTTTTCTAACTCACGCAAACCAAATCTTCGCCTGTGGAAAACGCAACAAGTAAAGTCTGGCTTATACTAATTTTTATAGAAAGTAGAGACGATAGGAAAGTCAGAAGTGGCTTACGAAAGTATTCGAAAACTGTTAGAAGCTTTTTATGTATATATATTATGTATATATATTATACAAAACATTTTGAAATCTGATATGGATCAAATTTGAAATAGATCTGAAAATTATATATATAGAGGTTACAAGATACTTATTGGAAGCATACGCTGCGCGTAAATTAGCAAAGTATTTGAAGTCAATTATTATTCACTATATTAATAAGCCACAATGTTTAGTGAGACTATCTTTAGTATTAATTGTACGTTTAAGACTATTATTGACTTAAGATTTCCACGATGATTTTCTGAATTCATCATATTTGATCTTCAGGTTATCAATCGTGTTATATATTATTTTGTAAGCCGATCTGAAACTGTTTCCAGGTTTCTTTTTATGGCAGATTTCCATTGGCCAACCAGAGGCACTTTTTTGACCATAAAAAGCATTAACAAAATCTGAAAATACTCAGTTTCAGTATAACACTGAAGAAGTGAAATACAACGTCCACGAAACGTCGGCTTGCAAAGCAATATATAATATGATTGATAACCTGAAGACCAATTATGAATAGTATTTATGCTGTATACTAATTTTCTACTGAGTGTATATTTGCGATATATGTCTTGTAATTTCTATATACATTTCCAATTAACACGTTAGTACAATAATTACGATGATCGTGTCTCGTTACAGTGTTAACGAGTTTTCAAAAAGTTTTGTAGAATGCATATAATATATTCATAAAAAATTTTGTGGTCGGTATACGAGTACTTCTGTGAACCATTGCTTTTTTGATAGAAAATTATGATAATCGTATGTTATGTTGCACATACATGTACGTTTGACAGCGTACAAGTAACATATGGCATCGAGAAATGATCGGGAAAGAAGCGTGTATGAGGTCACTGAACCTTCCTATGAGCTAACGACGCATCGTACGTATCCCTTTTCTCTCTTTTCGCGTTCGTTTCGGTTTTTTCCTGTTCCGTAAAAGAGAGGAGGCCGCCACACGCGCCTAACTGGCAAAACGTGTCATATGGCTCGCATCATTGTGAGAGACGCATGGTTTGTGGTAATGGTAATCCAATCGCTGGAGACTCGTTCGACTTGAAACTCACTTGTGGTGTCGCTCCTCTAGCTTCGCCTCGTGTCTGCCAGGCCGCTCGACTTTTCTGCTCGTTGGCCTTTTCGGGCTGAAAAACGACGCGACCACGTCCCGCTTTTTTCCCGTGCCGGCCGGTGGCTTTGGTTCGGGTTTCGATCTGAAATTTTCAATAAAAACGCTGTTTTTATATTTATGAGATATTACAGAGACGAGAATTTGTAAAATCGAGCAAACGCGATTCGAATACGATCTTTAATTTGTAACTGGATTGTGAGTATAGTAGTAATCTAAGTTGTAAATTTAACAAATTGAAATTTGTGTACTTGTATTCTAAATTTGTATATTATTATATTTTTAACCTTGTATAATACATTAAATACAATGTATGTCACGGAGACTTCAATTACACATATATTACAAAGCCTATGGTTGATTGCAACAATCCTGTTGCTACATGCATTACAAAGTGACAAAGTGTATTAAATTTTCATGAGCGAAAGAGTGGACAAAAACGATGCATACGACATCACCGAATCACGTAAGATTTCTTCAAGAAATATGCAAATGACTAATAAAGGATTGTGCAACACGTAGGCGCGTTAACACTCCTACCTGCACCCACAACAATCGCACGAACAGCGAACTTATTATCGAATTACAGTGACGACGCTCCTTTACGTCTTTTTCATTCCTGTTTCTACATTTCTATCTGTAAAAATTCGTCAGTAACTATATAGTATACGGTTTAATCTTCCTAATTCTGGTTATTTAAATACAGTTCCTTTTTTATAAAAAAGATTTTTACAAGAAATAAGGAAAGATTTTTAACTCTTATCTAATCATTGACCCACTGGAAAACATAACAATTTGAGACAAAATCACATGATTTCTGAATTATTAACTTAATTTAGTTTTATTACTAATCCCTATCACAGTGAAAATGCAAGTAAAATACAAAATAAAATGAAATACTCTAAATATAATATAGTAATATAATAGTAGTATAATAGTAATACAACAAATTATTAGACTTTACTATGCCCAATAGCACTATTTGGAGGTTAAATTTGAAATCTTAACAAAATCCTTTAAGAGTTTCTTTCTCGAGTTTTCTTGATTGATATTTTTTATTTTGCTAATAAAATGAAGTTTTTGGAAAAGAGACTAGATTGAAATTGTCAAAGTTAACTTAATATAGCGTAGAAAAGTGAACTTGTACTGTTATGGAATTCATGGGTTCAATTACTAAACCTAATATATATACATATATATATATGTACTATCAGTTTGGTGAGCCATAAAATACAGAAACAGAGATGACAGATCGAAAAAACGTAGTAGGTTAGATCTAGTTTCCTTAAAGATCGTAGGATTTTCTTGTGTCGTTACCAGTTACGACAGACTCGTTCTCTGCAATTAAACGAGATTAATCTTTGACCCACTTAATCTTGAGCATTTAATGAATTGCGTGATCTCAACTACAATGTGTTTTCTTAAAAAAGAATGTGGAGGAACTTGAACGGATTTAAAGTGTCCAGCAATTATGACATGCATCGAGATGTGACCAGATGATGGGTTAGTTTCATCGCTGACCGCTGGTCAATGCCCTCAGTCGTTCGATCCATTTACTAAGAATGGGGATCTAGTAAATCGGATCGATTTCATTTTGTGTCTGTACTTGGCTAATGCTCTCTTAACATCTTACGTAAACTGCCAGTAACAAGTGGTCTTAACAAGAAAAACTGTTACTGGTTTCTCTACCGTAGAATATGTTTCTATATCTGGTCTGTGGATACCTATACAAATTCATATTTTGATGGAAATGATATAAAGAATAGAATCTATTTAAAGATTTATATCACACATTAGGTATTGTCAAGGAATATACTGTATTTATGATATTTTATATACATTATATGCATTCTATGCATTTGCGTATTTTTAAATTTTTCATAAATGTATAAAAATCCGCAGCCTGCCTATTTATGCGCATAATCTGGTCTTACATTTGAAAATTGAAGGGCGTACGGGGAAAAACGGGAAATGTCCATTTTTTTAATTTTCTATTCGATAATGCATTTTGTTGTGAAAACTATCACAAATCATAATAATCACAATATTCAAAATGTTTCCGTAAGATAACGTTAAAGATCCGGTGTATTGATTAAAAACAGGAAATGTCCACGCTGTACTGGAACGAAACACAGACAAAAATAATTAATATTTTATTAGTCATTCCTTTGTATGACATCTAAGTAAGGTATAAACTTTATCTTATGAACAATGCAGGTAAATTCATCGAATGTTGTTACTTTTCTAGTAGACATAAATATCAAAACTTAATTTTTTCAATAAAGCTATTTTGTGACATTCTTTCTTTTCTCCTTACTGTTCATTCATGCATATAAACTGGGCCTAAGATTATCATAAAAAGTAGACTTGATAAAAGTAGACTTATTAATACCATATTTCTCTTAGTCTCGATACCATATATTTGATATTATCTTATAATAATTTAGAATCAAGAAATTGATAAAAATGTTATAGCGAAAGAAAAAATTATAGGGGACACCCGGGTTTGAACCGGGGACCTCTCGATCTGCAGTCGAATGCTCTACCACTGAGCTATATCCCCAATTTGATCACAGTCTCCAAAATGGCGCTACACTTATTCCAACAAACTAGTCATAAATAAATTTTTCCCAATAAATTATATTATTCATCCAGATTACAGAATAACTGATTCAAGTATTTTCAGAAATCTGAGTTCAAATTACTTTAAAATATACTTAATTGAAATCAAATGAACTATTGTTAGTACAGTCCAGTAAAGCGATTTGTAGAGAGAAAGCGACGCCAATGGCTGCGACAGGTAGATAACGGAATTTCTGGAAAAATAATCGCTCGACCGGTTTCTCGATGCGTAACAGACAAGGCAGGGTCTGTTGAAGGAAGCCATTACGATTGCGGTAACAAGTCAGGCTTTGGTCCCACGGCTTCCAATGTTTATTACATTAACCAAGGAGTTTACCGCCAAGCCGACTACATACTATCGCCATCTATACGTCAACTTTTCGTATTTTCATTGTTATCGACTTATATCGACAATGTAGGAATTTTCAAAGATATATTATCGTTTGATCAAATGGAAAAATGAAATGAAATGCTCTGAAGTAAACAAACGCACGTATGTTTCGCAATAAATGGCAAAGTATAGAGGCGACTTATATAGGCGCCGAAGCAGAAAAAGCGAAAGCGAATTCTTAGTGTGTATATCGTTTTTAACTAGCTTTCACTCTAAACGTAACGCAAATGAAAAACTTATCATAGAGGAATTACATTTATTAGGAATTGTATTTAGTGACTAAATCTCAATTAGTTCTAATATAACAATTCATATCTTAAATTAAATGATTTTGGTAATGAATAACTAAATCTAAATGTGAAGATAACTAAAGAAGTAGAAATTAAATAGAGATTTGTTTATCAAATATCATAATAAACACTGTTTTGGATATTTTATATATTTTTGCATATTATGTTCACTGTATGTATTTCTGCACCTTCAGATTTCCCATAAATGTATAAAAATCTGCAGCCTATGAATAACTTATTATTAAAATTTTGTTGTTTACTTGTAATTATTATTAATTTGCGAAAATTAAAATTTTGTTTTCGGTATTGTTAACTTTACAATTAGTACTAGATAGTAAATATCAGTGACGTCAATAAAAATTGATGTTGGTTGAAAATAACCAAAAATCGTTAGTGGTAACAAAAGAATCTTTTCGCCATCCGTAATAGTTAATGGCAACCAAAAACAACTTCAATCACCAGTCACAATTATGGTCACCAGTAACCAACAAAATTGCAATTATCTATAATAACTATTCTTAACTAAATTCATATAAACTAATCGTGGGATACGATTTTTTATGCTATGCCCGTTTTAAATTTATGTTATAAAGTTATGATCTCTGAATGTAATTGATTCTTATAATGGTACAACAAACAATTGGTACTCACCGGGCTTTCGTGGACTTGTTCGTGATTGGGATAGAAGTGGCTGTTGCCCGCTTAAACGGTGCCCGCCCTCCCGAACCCACGGACATTCCGCTTCGAGCCTGTGACAAACAGGAAAAGGCAACCAATTAATACAACACATACGATCAGATTTAAGAAAATATAATTAAACGGTACATCGTTCCCCCACTCGCCGTAAACCACTCTCGAGAGTATCTGATCCGAATACATGTGAACGCACGCAAACGTCTTTGGATTAATAGTACAGGTGCAGCGTTGAAACCGCAAGTGTGACATCCTTGACAAGATATCTTCTCTTACGAACACGAATTCGATCTGTTCACGCAGTGGATACGTATTAACTGTGGCTACCAACGAAACATGCACTAAATAATTATAGAAACGAAGGCCGCCACTCGACAACGCAATACTGGCGCATCTAACATTTTCCACAGTACGCGAATATACATATATACGTATGAACTAGGTATACATATTTTGAGAAGGACGGAACCCAGAGGTTCTCTTTGAATATTAAAATTATACTTAAGTGGCTACAAAAAATTTTTCCATATCATATCACGTATTTTTTATAGTATTTATATAATATGTCATTAATTAAGTTTATGTATATTAAATTATATCATTTAGTAGCATGTCTAGTAACACTTATGAGTACGAAAATTTAGTACCATGAAAACGAAATATAGGATCTAATAAAA